CACACCAGAGTCGGCAGCATGGTTTATGAACCATGCATCTATGGCAAGGTTATTCCAAATCAGAGCAGGAATTTCTGGGGGGCTGTGCAAGGGGCCACAGCTAGCAAGACAATAAATGAACATTAATGCTACATTGGCTCTGAGTGCATGTGTGCAGCAGGCCAGAATTTGCCCAAATAGCTGAAAACAAGCAACATTATTCCACACTTTACAAACAGATTCTGTCATCTAAAGTTGGAAGCTTTTTATGTCTATATTCTACTCAAGGGTACAGCCAGCTTTTGTATTATTTGAAGAGGATATTATTTAATATTTATATTAAAGTAACACCCAGCAGCCCCCCAGCCAGGTTTGGGAAGTCACTGTTTTAAGTGCTGCACAAACACACAGGAAGACTCGCTCTCAAGGATAACTCAAACCTATGGTATCTTCACTGCAAAATCCTGGGCGAGCTAGCTGTCAACTTGACAGTAGGTAGGAATGTAAGCACACCGAAGGATGGTTTAGAAACTAATATTTTCCACCACTGAGAATGGCATACGGGCTTTAGTTATCAATTCAGATATATTTCTAATGAAAGCAATAGGTCTGTCATGAGTTCTAAGGAAGTATTTTTTCCTCTTAAATGTCTGAGTGGTAACTGCTTGTGCATAGGCACTTTGGTAATCTTATTGTCTGCAAAGCCACTAGTGCTTTCATCATCATGAGCCACCATGCTGGTTGGCTGAACAGTTTTTAGGTTCAGGTTAAGGGATAATATTCCTAAATGATGAAGATCCCAATCACTTTTGATCATTAAAGAGGATGATTTTCTGAACAAGCAGTATTATGATCATTGCTTGCTTGCACCACTGCAAACCCTTACCCATGGCTACAATGTTTCTGCCACCAAAACCACAAGTTTTCCTGTTTCAAAAAACAGTTCACCTTTCAATGATATTGATAAAATAAGGCAGAGTGTCAACTCCTTAATTCTACTTATCAAAATTCTGCCCACCTGAACTGGCCCAGAAATTTCAACTGGAAAATATATTCTCTACTTCCTGTCCCAAACTCCTGCCTTTGAATGCTGTGAAGTATTAAGATTACTGCATTTCAGTGCTGGATGAAGTAATCCTTCTGTATGCATCATTTGTATATCACTTTAATTTTTAAAAGAGAAATAGGACCCGTCGGGATGCAAGGTATTAGATAAATGTATGAATTAAGTTCCATACAGATGGCTAAATGAACAGGAAAACTTGCAGCTCATAGTACTGCTATTTCTACTGCTGAACAGCCTGCATTTACTGTAAATTGCTGCCCTCCTATAGTATTGTGCCCAGATGTATAGATTCCCCAAATGTTCCCTATTCCAAGCCAATGGCCACTCTACATTTGCCAAAACTGGGGCTCAGACATACTGAAGAATGTTAATTTTTACAGCTTTCAGCAACACCCAAAATGTCTCATTCATAGAAAGTCCTGGTACCACATGTTATACGTGAACAATAATCTATGGGGAAGGTTTAGGTTAAAGAAAAGTGAAGGGATTACAGCTATAAAATTTCCAAAATATTGACTCAGATCCCATTCTGACACACTATATTTTCAGCCATAAACTGTTTGTGACTTTCTGGTAACCAGTCATCTTCATGCTGGGTATATATTACTTGCAGTATGTCCACACAATGTACTATAGAATATCCACAATCTGTTGACTTTAGATAATGGGACTGAAGCAATTTGGTAGGCCCAGGGGAACCTGGTGACAAGCCAGAAAAAACACTATTCCAATCTCTCTCTCAAACAGTCCTTAAGCACACAGGGTAACGCTCAAAGTGGTATCTTAAATTATTTCCATTTCAGAGGGCATTTATTGTACATCCAATGCATCA